GGACCTCCTCTTGAGAACTTGATGGGTTTCCGAGGATCATGAGAAACTGTCAATTTAATAAGGTGAAATATTATTTCCATACATAGAACAAATATATAGGAAGAAATAGGGTCTCCTTGTCTAATTCTTCTAGATGGTTGAAACTCCCCCAGAACCTCCCCATTCCACAACATCTACATTCTAGAAGAGGAGATACATTGCCAAACCAAATTAGTAAACATACTTGGGAACCCATTGCTTTTGAGAGTTCTTTAAACAAAGTCCCAATTCAAATGATCATATATTTTCTCTAAATCTATCTTTATCATCATCTAGGTTTTCCTCCCTCTCTTATGCTTTATTGAATGAATCACCTCTTAAGTAATGGTAATATTATCACTACTATGACAATTATAACAGGAGAGTTCCTCCATGATGTGCACCACTCTTCAAACTCTTCTTGACTAATTGGAATAGTAGGGCATGAATTTCAACCCTCAACATCTCCTTCAAACTCAATATATCATCCTTATAGATTTCTTCTTTTGGGAATTCCATCTTTTTCATAAGACTATTGAAACCAGTAAAAATCTTCCCACCTCCTATAGATAAAAAGACTATTCATATAGGACTTGGTATGGTCTTTACCAACATTCTCTAAAGAAACCTCAAACAACTCTACACCATCCTTCGTCTTAACTTTTTTCGTACTCCACTTATTTGGATCTTCATCAGACTCATCCCTTTCCAAAACCCTAGCAGAGTCTATAAACGTCTCTATAAACTAAATTTGAAAGTTATACAAAAATACTCGAGAGACTTTAGGTTCTACCTTAATAATTAGATTACTTGTTATAAAAAATATTTTCACAAACTAAAAAAAATGAATAAAATAATTTTAATAATAACAAAATCACAAAATAAGATAAGAAATACATAAATTTTCTTATGTAAAAGAAAACTATTTTTTTTAAAATATTTTAACATATTAAACTTAATTAAAGAAACAAATATTAATATTTATCATAGATTAATATCATTACTTCCACAAATTCAACCGTTATACATTATTAAAAAAAATCTACAAAACAAGAGGAAAAATAGATAAAAGTATTTTAATAATTACCAATAGTTATTAAATTTTCACAAAATTCAAATAAAATTTAACTCCATAAAATAAGATGGAAAAATAGGATAAAAGTATTTTAATAATTATTATTTCTGAAAATTTTAATCGTTATACTACATTATAAAAATTAATTTCACCAAAATAAAATAAAAATGAGATAAAATATTTTAATAATTACTAGTTATTATTAGATATTTTTAAAATCCAATCATTTTATATTATAAAAATTAATTCCAAAAAAATCAAAATAAAATTTGAATAAAAATATTTTAATAATTACTAAGTATTAGTAGATTTTGGTGAAATTTGACTTTTAAATATTATAAAAATTATTTTTGCAAAATAAGAAGAAAAACATTAATAAAAATATTTTAATGATTAGTAATAATTATTGTATTTTTGCTAAATCTAATCATTATGCATTATAAAATTAATTTTTCAAAATAAAAGAAGAAAAATATATAAAATGTTAGATTTTATCTATATTAACGTGTAATAATGTATAAAATATGAGGATTACAATTGTATTAACAATCAAAATATTATATTTTATCTATACTAGACATATTAAAATTAGATATCTTGACTAAATTTCCGTTTAAACTGCTATAATCATTAATTCTATTAAATGTATGTTTTAATATGATTACTAATAATTATAAATATTATTAATAACGATAATTACTAGTTAGTTTCCCTAATTACACTAAAATAAACGTTACTTTTAATATAATATTAACATAATTATTTTCTGCAAAATAAATTATTTGAATTGAATAAAATAAATATTTGGAGTGAAAATCTAATTACTACTAAATCTAATTTATAAATAAAAATAAAAATTATTAATGAAACTATATTAAGAAAAATTTTGGCAAAGTTAACGAAAATAAATTGAATTGTATATACATTAATTTATATAAATAATTGATTCGACAACTACAATTTAAACTCCTAATTTAGTGAATTGTTTGTTGTGTTTTATATATTTTATTTTTAAATATAATTTAAAAATCAATATTTTAAAATTTAAAATCAGAATGTGACAATAAAGATTAATAGAGTTAACTTAATAATTGAGGGAGATGGAGTCTAGATAGAAGCGAGAGAATTTAAGTAGGATATTTGTTACGTCTATTATAATCTTTCTTATGTATTAGGAAAGTAAAGTTTTGTCGATCAACAAAAATTTTAAGATGAAGCAGTATGAAAAGTGGTACATTAATGAAGTACCATTTTTAACTGTTAGATTTAATAATAAAATAATTAATAGTTCAGATTTGTTATCTGTAACTTGTTTATGAAAATTTTTGTATTTTATAGATTAGTCCCTATATAAGGTTACTGTTTTGGCCAGCGACAGGTGGTGAGGACAGGAAAGACGATGGTGGTGAGAGCGACGGCGAGGCTGTCGAGGGCGAGTCAAGGGCAGGGAGGGCCAGATTTGGAGGTGGCGAGGTTTAGAATTTAATTAGGAGAGGCCCTGGAAGAGTTGAACGTCGCGGACGACGAGGAGGGGGAGGTAGCGACAGAGGAGGGACATGAGGCCGGTGGCACCGAGGAGGAGGAGCACGAGCCTCCGCTGCCACCGCTTGAAGGAGCCCACGCCTTCGCGTTGCCACCCGTGCAAAGGCTCTGCTACCACCACGTGAACGAAGTCGCGCTTTCGTTGCCACCTCGCGAAGGAGCCGGCGCCTCCGCTGCCACCGCGCAAATGAAGTCGCGCTTCCGCTACCACCGCACGAAGGAGGTCGCACCCCGCACGAACGAAGTTGCTACTGCCATAACTTGAAGGAGCCCGCGCCTCCACTCTTCCTACGCGCGAAGGAGATTGCGCCTCTGCTGCTACCGCAAGAAGGAGGTCACGCCTTCGCTGCCTGCCACCACCGTGGAAGGAGACGGCACCTCTACTGCCACCATGCCTTCGCCGCCATCGCGCCTCCTCCATAGTGTCTCCGCATATAATATAAGGACTATTTTACAATTTTAAACAAGTTAGAAAACTTGTTATTGCATTTTTACTGTCTCATAGATGAGATATTTCTTTTAATGCTTCATGTTAGAACGGTTCGTCAATCAATATTGTATTATTTTGAGTTCTAGAATTTTCATCTGAAAAGTTGTGTTGTTGTCATTGTTTTAATAGCTGAAATACTCATCATTTTCTAACTATTTATATATTATTTAGTGTCTATTTTTAAACTAAATTCATAACATGGATCATGATTCTCTTTTTACATTCAACACAAATTTATGAATATATTTTAATATATGTTTGTAAGTTTTAAATTACTTAAACCTCACTATGAATGATACAAATTAATTATATTTTTTAATGGCTTGAAAATTGCAACTATCTACGTTATAAAAAATTATAATATTGCAATACATTTTAATAATAATTTCATATTCCATATATTATTAGTACAACTTTTCAGTTAATTTTTTTAAATTATTAAACTAATTTCTTGACTGACCTACTATTGTTTATGTACATTATATACATGTGTTTGTTTTATTTTTTAATTTTGTTAAACAAATTTTTATTAATATACTAAAAATAAAATATTAATTATTACTAATACTCTGCCAACGTATTATACAGTTAATTCAAAATATAAATTATTTTAACGGACACAATTCTGACATATAAAGTAAACAAAAAAAATATTTAACTAAATCACCATATATAAATCTTATATACTGAAAATTTAGACTAATTTTTAACATATATTTTAATAATTTTACCTTTCATCTTCTTGGAAGATAAATATTGAGTAAATAGTGAGCTGTGAATATTTACAAAACAGTGTCAACTAATAAATTGAAAAATTACCATCTGGAAGTGCAAATTTGACAAATATATAAATATTTAAGGACTACAATAACACTAACTAAAAAATAATTGTTAATAATCAATTAAACATATCAAATAATAATAAGTAAATAAATTTAAAAATTATTTAGTTTAGACATAAATATCATTTTCCTCTCAAATATACCTATATTTAAGGTTTGGATCTCTAAGAGTAACTCTAATGAAAATTGTTTGTCTCATAAAACAATTCAAGCTTCGATTTCTTATCATTGGAAGACTCTGACGTGACAATATAAAAGAAAAAAGAGAATTATTTTCTTAAGTAACTGTTCCTTACCAGATCTCAAACAAATCTTATTAAACATATTTGGAAACATTTCAAAAATAATAATGATAAAAATTAATTTCGTATAATGTCTATATATTTATTATTATTTTATTTTATTTTATTTTTAATATTTACTTATTATATTTTTTTTCGTAATTTATTTTTTTAATTGTAGTACAATTACCTTTTTTAATAAAAATTTAAAATTAATTTATAAATAATTAAAAAAAATTTAAAAGTTAAATTTCTTAAACTTTCTTATTAGTAGAATAAATTTGTATTTGAATTACTTAATTACTAGAATAAATTTGTGTTTGAATTACTTAATACTGATATAATACACTCAAAATTATTTTTATTATTTTTTTTCATTTTTTAAGTCCATTAGAAATGTTCTAAAAGCTTAACTTTTTTTATGTCAAAAGCTTAACATTACATCTATATTTTTTTAAGTCTACCATAATTTACGTGTCAAAGACACAAGTCTCTTGTCAATATTATGGTCACATTTCAACTCATTTTACCCTGAATTACTGAAGAAGAAATTAATTAATTAATGAATAAATAATTAATAATATTAAAATAGTTATAAAAAAATTGGCAAGTACACTTTTACTATAAAAAAAATGTCATCTTAGTGTTCTTAATTTATACAGCTGTCTCAAAGCTTCACAAAATTAAAATTCAAAAAAATATATATATCTTCATATTAAAATTACCATCCCAAGTTCTTAATTTAAATCATGTTTATCAAAACTAAAGAGGTAGAAATTCGATACTATATCATTTCGACTGATCGATTACCACATTTGTAGGTCAAAAAAGAGAACCATACTCCATAAGAACAGAAAACCAAAACAGATACCCAAACTTAAACGGCAAAACCTTAAATAACTGAACATAATCATATCAATCCCTAGTTCCTCCAGTTTCCACCATCGGAACCATCCCCGTAATCACGGTCTCTACCACCGCCATAACCACCTCCACCGCCGTATCCTCCGCCTCCACCATTACGGTTGTAACCACCTTCACGACGACCACCGTAGCCTCCACCACCGCCTCCGCGGCTGTAACCACCACCGCCACTTCCGTAGCCACCGCCGCCTCCGTAACCGCCTCCACCACGGCTTCCGCCACCACCGCTGCTGCGAGACTGAGCTTCGTTGACAGTGATGTTACGGCCGTCAAGGTTCTGGCCGTTCATTCCTTCGATCGCGTCTTTCATTGCCTGCTCCGTGGCAAAAGTCACGAATCCAAAGCCTCTGGATCTTCCAGTCTCACGGTCGTTGATAACCTGCACAAAAAAACAAGAAGGATAAATCAGATCTAACGCATAAAGCGAGAAAAACAGAGGCAGAACCGAATAGAAACCGATCGATCTTCTCCTTTGGTTAAAAGACGAAGATGAACGTACCTATTGGCGTGAGTAATAAAAGAATGATATAGTAACAGAAGAAGTATCACAGATCAAGTAAGGCAAATAGATCAGAAGAGGATCGAGAAAATCAGAATCCGAATCGTGTCAGATCAAATGCGATGCCTGGAATCAAACGGACCTTCGATTCAACGATCTCGCCGAATTGAGAGAAGGCTTTCTCGAGAGCATCACTGTCGGTGGCCCACGCAAGCCCACCAACGAAGCAGCGGTACTCTACATCTGCAGAAGCCATGGAAAACGGTAGAAACCCTAGATTTTGGGGACACAGAGATTGTAGTAAGATAAGCACGAAGAAATGATGCACTCGCAATGATTGTTTTATAGCAGGTGATTTGTTAACCAGGGTTACCGCGTGTGAGTTGGACCAGGGTCAAACTGTAGTAAAATGCTTCTACGGTTCTACCCTCCAACATTATGACTCAAATATTTCCTTCCCTCTGTCGGATTATTCTTGATTTTTTTCTTAAAATTACCTTTAACAATTTCTGTAAATTTATTCACGTATTTGAGATTTTGGTCATATTTATTTTCCTAATATATTTTAAACTTTATATTTCTCTCGAGATTTTTCTTGTGTTTGTAAAAAAGAAACATTTAAATTGATTTGCATAATAAGCCCTAATTTTAAAATGTTCAATATAGAAATTATAAAATATTTTTATATTAAAATTGATACACCAAAAAAATTGTGACAAGTAAATATTAATTGATTAATTCAACACACTAAATATTAATTGATTAGTATACACTATACACAGTGTCTTAAATTTAAATAATGTTATAGTTATTATAATTTTTATAGATAAAGAATATATTTATTACTAAATATTTGTCATATATCATAATAATAAATATAATAAATTGAAATGGTTAAATATAATGGAATATTTTATGAATTTTTTTTTTAGTAAAGATAGGAAAGATTACAAAGATGGTTGCAAAATGAAGATTGAACCTAGGACCTCATGCTTCTAACTATATTTTATGGATATAGTTAAACATAATGCAATCGTTTTATAATAATAATAATAAATATGTCTGCGTAGAATTATGATTTTTATAATGCAATCATTTTGATAATTTGTTTATATAAAAAAATTATAAATAATAAGCATACACATTTAATTAAAATATTATATTCACAATATTTTGATAAATTTAAGATTCAATTGTAGTTTTAATTTTCTTGTTTTTGTCAATTTGTAATTTAGTCTTTTTATTTTAAAATAAAATATTTAATATTTTTATTTATAAAATTATAAAATTTGATTTTATCATGAATTTGATGTTTATTGATTGTTAAATTTTGATGTTATTCAATAATATATCACTAAAATAACGTAATATTTAATGACATAATATGTAAAAATAAAAATTTAAAAATAACATTCTAATTTTTTTGTTATAAATATATTTTAATATTTATTTTATTAATAATGTTTTTATATATTTTTATTTATAATTTTTATATTAATAAGTATTACATCACTTAAGTATAAGTAAAAAATAAAACTTAATTATTAATATGTATTTATTTGATAAAAAAATCTAAATTTTGTATTTATAAAATTAAAAAAGACTCGTTGTCTCTCTCTTAAAATAGAGGACTAAAATTGCAAATGGATAAAAATAGAGGAACTATAAATACAATTTGGCCTAAATTTAAACAGGTTGAAATATTAAATTTTTAAAAAATAATTAAATTTCTATTTTTGTTTAAAAAAATAAGTTTGACTTAAAGTACATGTGAAAAAATTAACTTCAGATTTTGCGTTAAATAAATAAAAGGAAAAACTATACTTTTATTCTCTTAAAATATTTCCAAAAAATAAACCCTGTAAAATTTTATTTTAATTTTATAAAAAAACAAAACAAAAATCACAATATTTTTAAAATGTATATAGATTTTTTTTTAACAAAGACATCCTTAACTTATTATTAGAGAAAATTTTATAGATATATATATA